AGGGTGAGATGGCTTCTTGCTAAAACAATTTTCTTCCTTGATCAGTCTTTGAACTTATAGGTCTTTTATTAGATTCCATAAACGTATCTCTTGGGGGTAGTTTCATCAGAATTAGCACGAGATCAAAAATGTCAAAGCATCAAAGCGCCAGTCTGTTCTCCCTCAAGCCAAACACCAACATAATCAGCCCACTGGTATTTTCTCCGTATGTCCCTTAGACTCAAGTTGTGAGGGATTTAACAGGGCTTCCTCAAAAAACGGAAAGCAAATGAATTGAAGGTGAATTCTCCCAAGTGACTGAATAAACCAGCCATGCAGGGACACTATTCAAGGGCTCCACAGACTTGAAGCCATATCACCATTTCACATCTCAGCTTCTCCGTTTACTACTCTTGAGGCTCACGCTTCAAACTGGACTGAGAGAGGCAGGGCTGCTTTTGGCACCATGTAGATTGAGGACTGGATTTCTCCAGTTTACTCGGTATCAGCCGGTCATAACTACAGGACAGAACTTATGGAATGCAGAAGTTTCTCTCCTTTTATGTAAAGAAATTATAAGTGAATGTGAATTATTGAGCAGAAAGCTGATTGGTGAAGGATGGGCTTTGAAAACAGTAGCGATGCTGGTGGACCTGAGAAATGAGTACATTTAGATGTAGCCATCACTGCAGAATCCTATGAACCTGGCTTTACAGTTGCAGTAAGAACAACTAGAACTGGGAAAGCTGAGACGAAAACTACTTGTGAAGGTGTTTCCAGCTTTATCCAGTTCTATTCAGCACACTGGTGGCTTTCCTATCTACCCTATCCAAAAGTTTGAAAGGAACAGCTCTTATTCATAGCCATATGCACTTACAAGCAAAACCGAGCGGAATGTGAGCTATTGATTTTTATTATTAATAGTGCTGTGAAAGGTTCCTGTCAGCCTGAGTTGTTGAAGGGAGCTGTGTGAACACCTGGGGTGTTCTCCCTGGGCTTGCTCACGCACTGCCCCGGTGCTGAGCTGGCAGCAGCTGCCTATCACCACCTCCTCCTTTCACCAGCCTCTACCCAAATCAGGTACCTTGATTCAAGATGGTTTAAACAATTAAAAAAATTAAAAATACCAAACACAACAGGAAACAAAAAAGACAATTGCAAAACCAACAAAGCTGGTAGGTGGAAGAAATGAGTACATGGGCAATTGAATGTGCAGGTATGAGCAAATACCTTGACCTGTGCAAAGCAGCTGACAGCAGACAGGGGAGAGAGCGATTTTGCCAGGAGCACATTTAAATTTGAAAGTGAATGAACGTATCATCATCCTCCATGCACCACAAGGTGCCAGCTACCTACGCGATGAGGATTAAAGAATCTGATTATTACTTCTGCAGCAACAAATTTGTCTAATCACCTCCTTCAGCTGCTTAATGTAACTTCTTAATCTAGTTTAGGTTCTTTCCCTCTTTTGGACATGCTCATCTCTGTGTATGTTTCATACATAACATATGTGTGCATCTGTGTATACAGTAAGAAAAACATGTATTTAGAAGTTGAAACTTACGTTTTCCTGTTCACCCCAGCATGAAAACTCCACAATTCATTCCGCTTGTGCCTCCATACTATGAAGAAGCTTTAATTATGTGAATGTAGGTTTCCCTCCCCCCTTCTTGCCCCATGCTCTGTTTCACTCCATACACAAGTGCCACCAGTATTATTTTAATTCATTTTGATGTGGCTCTACGAGGTCTCAGAGGGGCCTGGATTCAAAGCACTGTTAGTGACCTACGTGAGAAACTTCAGTTGTGAGAACCAGGCATGCTCACAGGCTGACACAGCTGAAGCTTGGGTATCTGATTTCTCTCTAAATTACAATAACGCCACACACATCTGTTCTGTGGTGCCTGTCCCAGTGATTCTTGGCAGTACAGTACCCCAGCCATGAAGGAGACCTGAAAGTTGGGCAGAGTTGTGGTTCTCTTTCTCAGTGTTAGCCTTGGGGAAAAGGAGACAACCAGGAGTCAGAATCTCTGCACTGGCAATATTCAGTGTTTGGGAGTGATTTTCCAAGAATTTTGTCTCACAGATACTTCTCATAGATGCCTCTCTCAACAGGCCTTCTGGGGTGGGCAGTGTTTTTGTAGTGCTGCTGCCTTTTGAGCCATCAACATACCCACACCGCACGCTCCAGATTCCCAAAGTGCTGATTCTCTTTTCCTTATCTTTGCCCCTTGGTGAGATTATCCCCCACCACCCTTCTTCCATTGTACTCAACACAGAATTTTCTTCAAGCCAGGTTTTCCAGGCTGTTCAGAGCTTCACCTTAGCTCCACTTTTTTAGAGTGGATTCTGGTTCACAGCTTATATACATTCAGATAAATGAATGTGATCACTTCCACCTCACCTTAATGATGATTCTGGCTTTGATTTAATCTTTTAATTTCTACGTCAGGATCTTTTTTCATTGTTTTTAGCTTTTTTGTTCTGCATTTCTCAGTGGTGCAGCATTTACTGTACAAGGGAGCAAACACTTTATACATGCACTCAGACCGTGTTTGGGATGCCAGGCCATCAGTACAGTTTTGTATCATAAGACCAGGAAGTATTTTAATGCCTTTTGTTGAGCTATTAATTCCCATTTGATAGCCCCAAAGGTTTATTCCCTGACTCCAGCTGACAGGGATTAGTGGATCCCCACCATTTAACCAAGGTGCTCTGCTACCTGCTGAGTTCCTGGTGTCAAAGGCTCATTAAGGAAGGGCTCTCTTTGCATAGGTGACTTGATAAATAATTAATAAACCTACAAAAAATGTAAAAGCAGAACTAGGGAAGAATCTCTACTCAGGAGGAGTTTTTAGCACCTGTTCTATTATCACCTTAAGCAAATGCATAGATATAATCTGAAGAAAATACAAATAACCACTTGGTCAGAAAACATGTTTAAGTAGTTTATTCCTGTAAATAATACTTGTGACTTAAACATAGAGGTGCTTAAAGTCCCCAGTTGGCATTAGACCAGTATTGTACAAACTGGTTTAAGAGGCAGGAGAGAGATTTCTGGCTGGCCAAAGTATTTATGTTCTTATTTCAAATGAGCTCATTAAAAAATGGGTGCAATAAAGTAAGTGAAAAAAAGGAAAAGAGTGCGTAAAGGTATGGGAGAACATGGTTCCTGAGCCCAGCTACTTGAGTAGCTGTCATTATTAAATGCTTTCAATTTTTAAGAAATGTATAAGAAATAAAATGTCAGTAATCTGTATTTGCCACCCACGTAGGTAAAGTTTTACTTTCAGAGAGTGTGATGGCATAACTTTGGGGTTTAGCATGTGTCAGAGTTGCTAGCTGCTCCTGTAAAGTGAGCGAAATGTGTATAAAACTGAGTAACTCTGTACCCACAGATGAACAGGTTGTGCTTGTTTTGAACTTGTAAAAATGGCAACAGTCAACCAAGTAGGTGATCTATAAAGGGAAAACGCTACCAGGTATATTCTGTTATGTGAAAGCAATTGGACTAGCCAGTGGGAAGAATATAATGCAGCATGACAGGCTTTAATTTACTCCTGCAATGTATCAGGTACCCTCAGCATATCCAGTTCAGAAATGTTGTGGGGCAAGGCTTTTCCCTTTCAGCACCACTTTTCAGCTCAGTACTTCCTTTAACCCTGATATTCTCCTTCACTTCCTCAGTCTAAACATACCCCTAGAGCTCCGCAATTGTAAATTATGCTAACTGTGGCTTTCTGACCAACTTCACCTAAAAGTTTTCATCTGAACACATAGATCTTTCAGAATAAGCTTATTTCAATCCAGATGTAATTGCTTAGTTCTTTAAAACAATTTTGTATGATGGATAATCTTCAAAATAATGTTTGCCACCAAAAAAGGTCAAAATGTACCATTTCTATTAAAAATTGTGGATTCTTAGACATGTTGGTGTGGTATTTTCTAATAAATGGTTAATTGATAATAAAGAATGATTTGTCTGTTTTATTCTGTTTGTAACACTTTTTCTCCTTCACAAGACTTGTTACCCAAAGTTTATGCTGTAGGACCAGTTTTGGCACTACTGAAATGGATGTAAACAGCAGGTACTTCTGTTGAGACTGAGAATTAGAACAATTTTAAGCACTCTTGTTCTGTGTTTAAAGCCCAGCTAACCACCAGAGTTGTTAATAGTTTGTGAAGAGTTTGTTATTTTTGCTTGTGGATCAGATGTACCTGTTCACTTACACTTACAAATAAAACAAAAAGGATTAATTCAAAGTACACAGGGATAGTGTTGCTGAACGTCAAATTGCATGCTCTTACACTAGACTCCAACTGGCTGCTTAGTTGAAATACCATCCTTTTATGTATTTGATTCCACACTGTTTCTTTGGCTGATACAGGATCTTAATCAATACAACTGCTTATGTGACTATTCAGGTCATGGTTTTGTTTTCAAATTTGTAGGATGAAAAATGTAACAATAGGTGACTTTTATAATATCTTTTTTAATGAAAATAGTGTACAGGAGACTGAAACACTGCAAGTGAAGGGTATTAATTGTGCATTAGTTCAGATTTCAATATAGCATAAATTATTGAATACTATTTCTATATTGAATTAGTGAAGCAAACTGCCGTTCTATTTAAATGAATGTTATTGTTTTTCATATAAGACCACTGAACACATTAAGAAGCATGACAGAGGTGTTATGAAGCAGATTGTTCCACTGATTTTGACATATGGAGTTACTGCCAGGGGAGTGTCTTCCTTAGCTCCAATAAAGGCAACAGCCTTCCTAGTTTCAGACCTTCACATTCTGAGTTTTAGTTCACTGGGTTGTCTTAGACTTGGTTGCATTAGTGACCTCCATTGAAGAGGAGGCATTCTTTGTACTCGTTTTCTACTTGTACACTTTGCTTCCATTGAGGAGGGGGCAATGTTAACCTGTTCCTAAGAGCTTCTTTACACTTTGTGAGCTCTAAATCCTTGAAAAACAAAATAAAATGAATTTAAAGAAATTACTGCCAAACATCTCCAATGACCTGGAATTTTATTCCATCCATATACATGCATAGTAACAACATTTGTTGAGAAATTATTTCTATCAGAAGTAGAACATTATCTTTGTGATCACCAGTTGCAGTATTGCTACTCTTATATTTAAATATATCTTATATATGAATTAGATTCATAACTGCAGCATTGAGTTTAGGGTTTTGTTTTAGACTGTGCCTTTCAAAAGATAAAACTGATTGATATGACCTCATCATTTACAATACTGCTTCCAGTAATTTTGTTCATTCTTTATAAAGTATTGCATTTAACAGCAAAGGTTTAAAAATTGAGACAGAGATGCATCAGCAAAAGAAAATACAAGTACTATACAAGAAAAAAATTGCCATCTTCATTTAACGTACGTTTCAGATTAAGAAAGTGGACAGAAACATACTGCTACATACAAATGCAAAGCCTAATGACTAAGGTACTGTATCTGCTAAAATATAAAGTGCAAACTGAGCCCAATTGTTCAAAAAATTGAAATTTAAGGCGAACTTTACAGCATAGTTGAAACTTCTTTGCAAGTTATATTTTAGCATATACATACTTCTGCAACAGCATAGAAGAAAAAAAATCAGGATACACAAGTGCTTTTGAAGCTATTTCTAAAATGCTTTTCTGTATTGTTTGTGACTATTTTCTTTAAAATCTACTATACAGTGCAAACCATATGTGCTACACAATAACTATACAATAACATTACAAATGACTTTAATATAAAGTTTTTAAATAAAAAATAACATAACTACAGCTATGAATACTGCTGGTAAAATAAATTAATATTTTTGAAAATGGCACCAATAATACACTTTACTAATGGACTGTAATGAAATTACACCTTTAAGTCTTCAACTCAGCAATAGTGAAACCTCCTGATTGTCCAGATGTAATTCAAACAGCTTGCTTTAGACTGTATGGAACAATATGCTAAACACAGGTACCAAAGGTGACCGACCGATTGTTTCATTTGACATGTTCTGCTGCATGTGACGAGCAATAAAACTTCTTATGAGTTATAAAGTTTGAAAGATTGTTGAACTGGATGTCACACAGTCGGCAATACTTTCCACTGCTTGGGGCCTGGGTAGAACCATTCACGCCTTTAGCTATACTAGACAACTGTTCCTCTGCTGTAGGAATTGCTGGAGAGACGTTTTCATTTGCAGTTAAGGGATTCTCAGAGATCCAAGAAGGAGACTTGTGCCCTTCCTCATGTGGAGGGTTCTGGGAAATGTTCTCCTGTTGTGGGTTTGCGGCAGGCCTTTCCTCCTGTTTCAGTCCCCCATTAACTATTACCATGCCTCGGTTTTTCGGCAACAGCGGAAGAGACTCTTTCTTCTGCACAGCACATCCATTCGAAGGCACCTGGCCTTTAGGAGATTCACTTTCTATTTGTGTATTTGTGCTTTGATCTAAATCAGTATTATGAATGACGAGAGAACCAGAAATGTAATCGCTTGGCTTTATTCCATAATATGGAGAAAGCTGATCTGCTCCTTTAGCTTTCTTTATTGCTCCAGGGTAAAGGCATTGTGGAAGAAACAAATGTTTGTTTTCTTCTTTTGTAGCAATAAGCTGGGCCGCTTCACTAAAGACTTTTAGTCCTTGAAGTGTTGCTAAGTGTGTGGAAAATAAGTTTCCATTAGGAGAGGACTGTTTTGAGTTTCCATTTTTCTCACATTTGATTATGCTTCTTTCATAACTGACATCTGGGCTGTTTCTTTCACTTTCTGGGTTTTGAAACACCTTACTGTCAAGCTGTCCCAGGTCATTACGCTGATGGGCAGTGACAGGGCAAAAATTTTGCTTGTGAGCTAGGTAGTTCTCTACCTTGTTAAAACTGATCTTGCACACTGTGCACTCATGGTAGTCCAGCAACCTTTTGGGAGAAGTGGATGTCCTCTCTGACGGAGGTAAGCATTTTTTGCTGAGATCTATTGGCACATCCATCTCCAAGCAAGATACGGTGGAGTGGGGAGTATCACACTTTGAAACTGGAACACACTTGTTAATAGACAGTGATGTTTCCAGATGCTTCGAGACTATTCCTGGAAAGATATCACATCGTGGGTGGTAACATTCCCCAAGGCCTTCTGTTGACTCTTGAGTAGATGTACAAGGATTGCCAAGATTGGCCACTTCTAGAAATCGCTGTTGAACAAGTGGTGGCCTTTGCTCTTGCTCTGGTAGGCACATCTCATACATCTTCCTTCGCTTCCGGGTACGCATTGTTCTCTGCATGGCAGGCACTTTGTTGGAAGCGGACCTCTTCAGTGGGGGATCGTGGCGAGTAGCACAGTAATACTGCTTGTGGACCATGTACGTTTCATGTCTGCTGAAAGTAATATTACAAGCTTCACATGTGGTCTTGTTGGGATCACTCTCCCCTTCTACTAAAGGAGCGTTGGGATTCTTCACATCAGGAGGTTTTCCATTTATCTTCTCATCACCGTTGCTTGCAGTTGACAACTTCTTAGATTGTGCTGTAAAGTCTTTTTCATGACTTTTATTGTTTGGCCCAATCAAATCTAAAACATTGGAAGAGTTTATGCACGACGTCTGCAGAAGCTGATTCTCTGGATCTGATGTGTGAGAAGCTGCATTCAGGATGTTTATAGAGCTTTGACCATTACTGGGACTTACAGCTTCTGGCATTTTTTCTGGAACACTGGAAAAATCTGGTGACTTTGCCATCTGCTGCCATCGGCTGCTGCAGTAATGCTTTTTGTGTACCAAGTAGTTGTCCAAATTATTGAATGTTATGTTACACTCAAAACATGTAGCCCCTTTGGGCATCAAAGGACTGTAAATTACAGGAGGATAATTGCTACTTCCATGCCTCAGTCTTCGATGGACCAGTTCAGACATTTTGGCTAGTATCTCTGAAGCCTGAGGAACCACAGTGATGTCTTGGGGAAAAGCAAACTGGGAAAGAAAAGGTCCCATTGGGAAAGAAGGACCAATATTAGGCTGAACTGGCGATGAAGCAAGTCTTGGACTGGATGGTTCAGATTTTATTTTAGTGTACGAAAAACTCTGCTTATTTGTGGCAGGCTGGGTTTCTGGTCTCTGGTTTGGAAGGAAAAGTGGAGCCTTTTTTTCACATTTATCAAGCTCTGTATCAGAACTTGCATCTTTAGTCTGCATGGTCTTTTGGCTCTGGGGAACATCATTTCTGCTCAATAGGTCTGACGCTGGCTGTAAACCTTCTTCATTTCCACTTGGAGAGTGTTCAATGTCACTTTCTCTCTGAATTTTGTTGCCAGAAACATGTAACTCTTGGTGCTGCAGTAGCTCCCTCTGAGTTTGGAAGCCAAAATGGCAGTGATTGCATCTAAAGGCAGCTTGAGTAAGATGCGAGAACAGGTGCTGATGAAAGTTAATCACTGAGTCTGCAGTGTAAGTACAAACTGTGCATTTCAGACTAGCACCGGGCGGGAGAAATTCTTCCATTTTCACTCCTATAGAAAAGACAAATAAAATACAAAATAAAGTGACTGTTTTGCCCTTCATGAAGTATACTGGAAATCAGTTGCACAGAAGGCACAAACACAGTGAGAACAACTAATTTTCTTCTGATGGGATGGTATTAGTCACCCTGAAAATACTTGAATTGATTCAGAACTTCTTTCCTCGAAGTGCTAGAGGATATTCCCAGACTTCTGCTCTGCTTTGGAGAGCCTTAGTATCTGCATGCATTCAGCAGAGATGAAGGGAAAGAAAGAACAAGGGAAAGGATAAAAATAGACTGGAATTATTCTAAATGAAAAGGTCTTGGAAATTACCATTTTAATTAAAGGGGACATAATGTTCCCCATACACAATCACTTGAAATTTTGAATGCACAGAAAGCACATGAAGGTCAAGAGGCTCAAGGTTATGATGTGCATTGAGGTACAGCCCTCAAACTCAGAGTGTCTGAAAGCCACAGACACAGCAGAAGTAGCATTTTGAGCACTACTGATGCTCAGGTCTTCGCCTGCATGACTTGACTGCAGTGTGGGAACAGGATATAGATCTATCCTGGTCAGAAAGGACGGATGAGTTGCATTCATTGTGAAGGGAGGAGGAGGAAGAGGAGTAAGACACTCCTTCAGCAACATTTTATCTTCCACATATAATGGCCATAGGCAACTACTGCTGCAATGCAACACCTTTTCCTCATTAAATCACTACAGCTTTCCCTATCAAGAAAAGCACATTCAAAACCATCTTAAAATCACTGCTGAAGCAAAAAGCCCCCATGTTTCACCGTATTTTGAAACTGAAAATGCTTTAAAAAGAGGTAAGATCAATTTTCTCTACTGCAACAACATAGATTTTGATTACGTTTTAGACAATAAAAACTGACAAAATATTGGTAGGGATGACATTTGGAATCTAAAAATTGTTATTTGCTCTGTCTACACAGGCACATAGATATACCCTGCCTTGGTCAGGTAAACTAGGTTTGTGGTAGCTGGACAACATAAAGCTGTAAGAATATTGTGTCTCAAAATGTGGGAAGTCATTCTGTTGTACCTGAAGGTCCTCACTTCTCCCCTACCATCAGTGACTTCCATAGGTGTAAATAACATTTTAATTTGAACTACTCTCGGTCTGAGAGACCAGAAGGGAGCAAGGAGATACACAGCACTTCAATCAGTGCTTGTTCCCCATCAGGCACTTTTTCCCAAGGAGGCCTTATGAAGCTTTAGTTCCTCCACTGCCATCAGATGGTGTTTCATATGCTTCCACCTCATATGGTACTCATGGTGGAGTGTCTCTATAGACTTTGCACTTCAGTCAGGGCTCCATGCTTCAGTGGTGTGGTTTTGCTACATCACCCAGCGGGAATGGTAACAGAAGATGAAGCAGACACAGCATCAGCTTACAGTATTTGGAAGAGGAATGCTTCATTCCTACTGCAGAAGCTGTTATAGCTTGTGATAATCTGTATAGAAAAATAAAGATTGACAAGATCTGAAAGAAAGCAAGAATGACTGAACTGACTAGTTTATGACTAAAAAGGACTAAAAGCCTCTCATCTAAGAAATACCTAAAGATTCTTACTGGAAATTCAGCA